AAAAGAAATATAAATATTTACTTTTATCTTTCTAAAAATCACTTCCCATTTTCTTTTAAAAAATTTTTTGTTTATATATTTTCAACGTTTGATAGTATTACATCAAAGTAAATTATACTGTTATACATCATTATTTACTAATGATATTTACTAATGAACATCATTTATATATTGGTATATCCCGGTATAAATTATTATATATTGGTATATACTGGTATATATATATACATATACATTATACATATACATTGGTATATATTAGTATAAATCAATATATATTGGTATTGATATAAATTGATATAAAATTAGTATATACTGATAAAACTTATATGTATATATATATTAGTGTAAATTGGTACTTATATTAGTATATATCAGTAATATATATGTTAGTGTAAATTGGTACTTATATTGGTATATATCAGTATTTGTAAAAGTATATGATGATTTTTGATGCATTATTAATAGAAATTAGCAGAATATATCGATGGATAGAGAATGATTAGTGGAAAATGTTAACAGAACAAATCATCTATCATCTGGTTCAAATGACGAATAAACATCAATAAGCTTTAATTCTTCAAAACTTTTCAACTTGCTTCATTACAATTTGTTTAACATTTCAATCTTATATTTCTTATAGCAAAATACCACTATACTCTCATAAATTTCTTCATCTTTTTCACTTTCAATTTATTACTCTTCATCTTCATCATCATCATTATCATCTTTTACTTGCAAAAATACCACTACACTCTCGTAAATTTCTTTATCTTTTTCACTTTCAACTTATTATTTTTCATCTTCTATCTCATCTTCATTTACTAATACATTCATTCAAAATTAAAAGAATAATAATAAAGAGAATGAAAATAGAGGGAGATGAAGAGAGAAAGAGAGAGAGGGAGAGAGAAAAAGAGGAAGAAGAAGAAGGGAAAAGAGAAAGAATGATAATTGTAACAGAATTTCAAAACGAACTTCTATCAGAAGAAGAAGAAGACGAAGAAGGAGAAACGGTGTTAACTATGGTCGATTCAGTAGGACGATTTGCTTGCTGTTCATTACGAGTAAAATCATTTACCTTTTCTTTTTTCATTTCTATTTTTTCATTAATTAAATTATTTTTAAAGTTTTTGGATTATTATTTATAAGATTAATTGATTAAAATTTTAAAGTGATAACTAATCAAATTGAGAAAATTTTCAACTTAAAAGTATGAATTTGATGTTATCATTAAAGTTCGTTCAATTCAAGTAATTAATTTTTTTTTCTTTCTTTTTTTTCTGGTACAATTTATTATTAAATTTTGAATTGTAATTTATTTCCGGTAGTTAATTGAAATTCGAAGTTTTTAATAAATATTTTTTAATATTATTTAATTTTTTAATTTCTTACGTTTCATTTTTGACCAAATTTCTGGTCAAATTTTTGAGTTTATAAATACTTTAATAAAATATTGAATATGCAAACTTTCACCATTTATATTTGCAATATTTGTAGACATCTGGCATAGTAGTAGCGATAACTGAATTACTAATATGCATTATAACAACATATGGCCTAATCCGGAATCTTCAGCTTTTCGGAACTTACTATTTACTTTGGTTTATTATTGGTTTGTCATTTTTGATTTTTACCTAAGGTTAAAAAAATTTAGACAACTATTAAACATTAAATATATACGTATACTTAGAGAAATCAAATAAAAATCGTACACATAAGTAAATGTAAGTATAGTTAAGTAAATAAAATAAAAATTCGTAATTTTTATTCTACAGCTCAAGTATTCTAGTATACAAGTATAAGTATACTCAAGTATACAATTATTCTATAACTTAAATATTCCACAGCTCAAGTACAGGTCAATTCTACAAACAATTATGCAACTATTACTTTGGCTATTAATAATTATAGGATTAAATTAAATGAAAAATGAAAATTTCATTCTTTTTTTCTTGTTAAGATTTAAAATGACAAATTGCACTAATTTTTGAAATGGATGAATGTGATACTCATAAACAGATGTTGGCACTAAAAATACATTCTTTTGGAATTCGAAATGTGTGTGTGTTTTTTTCGTTTTTTTTTTTTTTTAAAAAGATTTCTAAGATCTTATCAGTGTGATAATAATAGTGAATGTTTATATTTGAAGTTGATAAAATATTGCGACATAAACTGATCTTAATAGGCTAAAACTGAAATTGCTCTAGGGAAAGGATAAAAATTAAATCAAAATTTAAAGTTTACTCAACTTCAAATGTTCCAAAATTAGATCAAATTTTAATTAATCTTACTTTACCTTAACCATCCAATAATTAATGATTCTAAAGCATTTGGCAAAAATTAACTAGCCGATTGTTTTAGTGCAATTAGTGGGGAATAACTGTACTAATAAACATTAAATTAATTACCAAAATAATGGCGAGTTTCAGTAATGCAATTATGTTATACAGAAATGTTTGTGATATTAACCTAACTTTATTTCAGTCTTCATCTTTTACAATGAGATTATTTCTATTATTCTTTTTTATTTAAAATTTAAATTTTTAATTTTTAATCCATCAATTCTTGAATAACATTTTTAAAATTTTTTTTTAGGTATTGCAAGTGTAATTGTAATATTAATAGTGATTGTACTCCTATTGTATGCTATCAAAACTGAAAACGGCCGTTTTTTGATACCACACCTATGTGCTCAGGTTTGTTAATTAATCTTTTCATTAAACTTTTTTTGAGCTCTATTAATTGCAATTTTTCATTTTAATTTATTTTTTAACTTTTTTTTTGAAGCAAAGTGGGTAAAATGCTAATAATATGCACATAAACTGTCATTATTTAATTAAAATAAACCAATGAATGTTTTAAACATTCCTTCAAGCATTTATCAATGATTTGATAATTTTGTGAAATTTCAATCAACTGATTGTAATTTCAAAAATTTTAGGCAATTAAATGAATTATCTTACTAATATTTCATTTTACTAACATGTTTATTTATTGCCATTCATAGTTTAATTCTTTTGTTTTCGTCTTTTTTTTTTATTTTGGCCAAATTCTATACTTAAAAATATATTATTTACACTCTTCAGTTTTTTTTTTGTTTCCTCACAATTTATTTATATTTTTACACTTAATTCTCTTCATGTTTACAACTATATACTTATCAAATATATATTTAAATTTTATTATCAGTAAAACACTAATTTTGTTATCAGCATTACACTGATTTGTTAAGAGAAATTTCGCAGTATTAATTTGTTTATCATTTTACATTAACAATTTTCTTATGTCAATCATACGTCAGAAGTTTTATATTGTTTACATTTCAAAAGCTGGTAGTTTCAAGTGTAATAAATCATGCTCGAAATTATTTCATTATCAGAATTTATCATAATTAAAATTGAATTTAATTGTTATTATGTTAGGAAATAATTAGAATAAAAATGTTTTTGAAATATCTTTAAAAAGTCAAAATTTATTAATAACATTACAGTTTTCAAACATTTTAAAATCTTATTTACGTTATTGACAGATGGGCAAAACTTTTTGCAAATAATAAAATTGAGTTAATTGTTCATTTTCATTTCGCATTGAAAAGTTTTAACGAAATTCTTTTTTTTTGCTTTTTTTTTTTTGTTTAAAAAATAACACAAAATTATTTCGTATGATATTGAGGGAAAAAGAAAAAACAAGCAAAACAGATTCGTTTCAAATTTTTAACCAATTGCTTTACAAACATTTCAAATGTTTAAATATTCGGAAAGGAAAAATGAAAGTTAAAAGTAACAACACATTGATTTTGAAGATTAATTAACAATGATTAAAAAAAAAAAACTATTTTTGACATTGTGTTGATGTTTTGTTCAAAGATTTGCTAATGATATTTAAACTTACATAAATTTCGAAACGAAAGAAAAAATGTTAAAATTAAGAAATGTTAATTAAATCTTTAAAATTTAAAATTAAAAATATCAGTTGGAGGAAACAAATTAGATTGATTTATTCAAATTAAATTACAACAAAAGAAAGCAATAATAATATTATTAGATTTGAACATTTTTTTAATTAATATGAAATTAATAATTTATTATTGCTCATTATTATGATGAAAAATTTTCAATAAAAATTTCAACTGCATTGTTTAATTTTTTTCAAACCTAAAAAATTGTTTAATCAAAAAAAAAAGAAAATTGAGCGGAAAAAGTTTTAATAAAATATTTAACTTTTTTTAATTGTCAAACTTAATTAATTAATTTTAGATATTTTTAATATTCTTCCTGATTATTGTGGCATTCGTTGTTACATTGTTGCTAATTTTTGGTGCATACCGTGGTATCCGAAATCTTCTTGGTCATGCAAGTTATCATATCACCGATGATGGTTTTCTTTCTATTTTCAAATTTTTTTTTTGTTTTAATTTCAATTTTTTCTTTATTTAAAAACAATTACATTTTAGTTTGCAATTTTGCTTGTCGTAATTTGTTTTTTAGGAAATTATAGAATTAATGAAAATAATAAACGAATTCTGAAATTTAGCGTTAACTTTTCATAAATTTATTTTAAAAGTAAAGATCTTTTTTCTTTTCGTGCAAATGAGAAAATTGAAAAGCAAAAAATTGCGAAAATTAAAAAAACAATTTTAACAATTTGCAATATATTTTGCTTCTTTTTAAACAATTTTAATCCTAAATCATTGTATAACATCAGAAAAAAAGTATCAATTTGTGAAATGAATGAAATGTATTTGAAATAATAATTATTTTTGATAATTGTAATTTAACTTCATAAATAATAATCATTTAATTATGATCAAATTGCAATTAAATTTCTGAAATTTTGTTCATTTTAAAACAAACATTTAAAGATTTTTCAAAATTTATTTACTCTTCTATTCTTACCTCAAATAATCATAATATTATTCACGTTTAGATGCATTTTTTTCTTTTTTTACAGTATTATCATGATTTATTATGAAAACTTTCACGATTTTTTTTTTCTCGAACAATAAATTGCTATGCAAATAAGAGCAGTTTTTTTTTCAGCAACAATAACACTTGGTTATATGATTATTGCAATATATCTTGCATTAGCAGTACTGGAAATGCTATTTCTTTATATCGTTTACAGGCTTTACAGGTAATTTTACAAGTAATGATTCAACAATTATTGTTAACAATTTGTTTGAAATTTAAAATTTCCTGAAATTTGTGATATTTTCTGAAGTCTCATTTTTTTTCATTTAATAATTATAATGAAATATATTTTGCATTTGCATATCATCATGTCATACTGTAAGAATTTCAACGGTACAATAAATTGCCATTACATGTATGAGAAATATTGCTGAATATTGTTAGTTTGATATTGGAGCTAATGAAATCTGGGAAATTTGAATTCTAAATGATTAATGAAGAACTTGAAGGCTTAATATCAATTTTATCAATTCTCGATATCTATAATTAGTCGTATCACAGATATAGTTGTAAATATACAGTTGTAGTTATCAATTGTATATCTACAACTGTATCAGATTTTTTGATCAGTATTGATTTTCAGGCATTTAAACCGGTATCTCCTGATTGGATCAGATGACCCATTCTCTAAGAAAGGTCCTCGTCACCATATTTACACAGCGACATGGCAGATGCCACCAAAAACAGCTGCTGATGGAAGCGGATCACCAGATGCTGGTCATTTATATCCTTACAGTCCATAAATGACAGAGGCAAATATTGATTGATCAGTTGATTTCCAATTATATGTAAATAAAACAATTATTGATCGATTGTTGGTTGATTAAGTATTGATCAATTCATTCGATCATTATTTATTTGCAGCAATCAATTATTGATTATTTTACTGATCAAAAAGGAAAAAAAAAATCAACAATTTTATTTATTTTGTATTAATAATACTGTATAATATATTTTCGTGTTCACATTATTAATGAAAATAATTAAATTTATTTCAATTCATATATCTTGTATTCATTTTTTGATACCTTCGATTATACTAATTCCGTCGATTGTCGATGTTTTGTAATTAATATTGCTCTCTTTACTATGTAAAAGATTAAAAAGGGTTAGTAGTAAAAAGGTAGGGATACATTTCAAGTATCACTACTGATAAATGATAATAGATAAGAAAAGAATGATCCTCCATCTTTTCTTATCATTTATCATACCACCCGAAATCAATACATAATTTGCATCTTTAAATTCCCCTACTTTTTTTTATAATCCTTTTTATCTATCATATCGCATACATTGTAGTACATATGACGCAATGCAACTTTTCATCTCATGGATCTTGTTCATATTTAACGATTATCAAGTGCGAAACAAACTGTCAACTGTATATCTTTTTCTCATTTCTTCTTTTTTTTTCTTCGCTTCATCAGATGCATATTTATAGTTACTTTCCTCTTTCGGTACAAAATTTTATTTTGATATTAAAATAATTTTGAAAATTTTCGAATTTATAATTTAGTGACACGACGGAATTTGTCATCCAAACTTTCCAGTTCCTTTTTTTTGCTTTTGATACGCAGTTGAGATCATCCGCATCTTTTGTTTCATCTCTCTCATCTTCCTATAAATCCTCACATACCGTCATGTCATTTTTATCGTTTATCATTACTTTAACATCTTATTTTTTATTTTTTAAAACAATGTTTTCGAATCATTTTTTAACTAAAAACAAAGAGAAAAAAGTATTTCAATCTTAACAAGCAGAATAACATTGAGTCCGAAATCAAATTAAGGATAAAATGAAAATTTAATTCAGGAATTCAGGGATTAATTCAATATCTAATCATTATCAAGTAACTTTGGATAGAAGAAATTTGATGACAAAAAATTCTTGCTAGATAATCAATAATAATGATACAGTTGTCCCATTAATTGATAAACTTGTAAAAGGTTTAAAAAAAAGCAGATTCTTATTTATTCTCTTATGAAAGAAGATTTCAGTTATTCATTTATTATTTTATTATACTTTTTTCTCTTTTTTTTAAAAAATTGTCACATAATATAGGCTAAATTAGTCGATTAAAGAAATTGGAATGATTTCGAATCTTTCAAGGATTTTTTTTCTTGAAGAACGTGTGATTGTATCTTAACATCTGGAGCTGTATCAAGGAATCAGCTATCACACGACCGGATTATAATCCCAAAACATTTCCATCTGGTACCAAAAGGTGTTTTTTGCTTAGGAATAAGCAGAGATCAAAGTGAAATCTTCATTGCTAATTTCAAATGATCATTAACATGTTTTCAAACAGGCTAAATCCTATATCCGTTTATATGCCAAATGGATCATTTTCACAACCAACATAATGGATATCATCAATTCAAGCATTACAATCAGCTAATTTAGATTACCGTAATTGGCATATTTGCAATTAATAAGGTATGCATAGCAACTCATTAAGCTTCATATTTCCTTATGACCATCAGCATTTTATCCTTCCACTAAAGGATGGATATTTGCGTTTTCTTATTTAAATAAGCCTCTGTTTGGATAATGAATGATGTATATAATGCATCTATTTAAAATTTTTATCGATATTTCATTTTTATTTTCTTTCTTCTTTCTAAAATTAAAATTATTCCCCTGAAAAGATAGTTGAATTAGTTGAAGCAATAATTAAAATTATTTAATATTGCAAAAAGAAGCAATCGAACTTGTTAAAGACAAGGTAAATAATGATAATAATAACCTGAACTAATAAACTTGAATTGTTTGATTTCTGAGAAAAAGATTTCATGTTAATTTTCTTATATAAAAAAAGGGAAGAACTTTATTTCTAATTATTAATAATGAAGTATGAGTCATTGCTGGTTGTTAGTTTTAATAATGTATGCACCAATTTCAGTTCTCCCTTTTCCTTCTTTCAAAAAAATAAGTTGCTGATGAAGTACGAGTAGTTAGTCAGTAAGTTTCATCTGACGCAATAAAAGTAATAATTAGAACTTAACCAGGTAGAGAGATATTTGTTGCGTAACACTTTTATTGTTTATTATTGCTCCCAAAAATTTGATATCTTCAGTAATCATACACACAAACACATATACACACACACACGCACACACACACACAACACACACACACACACACACACTTATATATATATTACGTGTTTGGGCCAGAAAAGCCGTTTATATGAAATGCGATCTCAACCTATTTGTCGTTTTCTAATCCAAGAGAAACTTTCAGGTTACCGTATCAGATATCCAGGACAGCTGACGTTAAGTGTTATAGTTTTTAACTATAAATTTCGGAATATTTACATGAAAACGGATCTTGTATGGAAAAATATCAATAATATGTACTTTTAAAATTAGAAATTGAAAAAAGAAAAGATAAAGATTTATTGCAAATTTTTATTTATTTCTCGAAAAAAGATATGTTAAGAAATCTAACAAGTTTAATATGATTGTTATTAAAATATATGAGAGGATAAGATGAATGTTATCATTTCTGGTTTTTTTTTTTTCAATTAAATACTTTTTTCCCTAGGATTTAAATCTTTTAATAGAGTTTATTGTTGCCGTGCAATGATCTGATATAAGTTCACGGGGTACTTGTTTAGTTTATTCCGTTTGATACAGTTATTTTTACTGTTTATTTGACCTTTTTTAAGCTGCTCACTTTATGATAGCTAAAGTAGGGTTAATTTCATTCAAAGCTGCTAAACTTTTGTACCAAGACAATAGTAATATTCGAATTGAATGTTGTAAGATGATGAAGACCATTAAATAAAATGTAACAATTATAAGAGCTTCAGTTATGGTCAAAAATGCTTCATTAATAGTTTGATAATTAATTGACAAATTAATTGCAATGAATAATTAAATGACATAGTTTAAAAGGATCAAACAACTAATATATGTTATAAATAAAATTACCTTAGAAAATCTTATACACAACTATATATATATATATTCATGTGCAATATTCTCTTAAAAAGATGTACCATTAACTTTTTGGGAATTTATTCATTTATTCTTGAAACAATAAACTTATGAAAAAAAAGTGAAAATGTTTAAATTTTGTTTACATTTTCAGAAAAAAAAAATGGATGAAATTCATTCAAACAATTCCCTAATTTTCACTTTCATTTTTATTTTTTTTTCCTTCCATTTCCATTAGTAATGTTGATTTTGATGATAGTTTGATCATATGAAAAGATACTGTTATATCAAATATCAAATAAGCATTCATCAACGTTCAACATCACATAAACAAATGGCATATTCGATGAGAGTTGTACATCATAGTGGAAGTTAGCCAAGTCAAACAGTTGATCGTAAATAAATATTAGGATAATCAAAATGGTGTCGCCTGAAATAATCTTCGTCAATTATCATTTTTTATTACTTATCTTTGATTTGGTACCATTACGACATATTTCAACAAAGATTACCACTGCTAATGTTGACATCAAATATCATAATGGTAAGGTAATAGACTTATTAAAAGATTTTTCTTTTTTAAATTTATGATTTTAAAATTCTTATTTTTTGTTTTTTTGAGAACGTAAACATTTAGAAAATGTTAATTATGAACAGATTATCATAGATTGTATAGTTACCTTAATATTATGTTTTTTTTCATAGTATGAATTGTCGATAAGATTTCAAAGGTCATTAAGAGTTTAAGCGATGATAACATTAAGGCTTGTTTCATTTAGAAATTGTTGAAGTTTAATAAACATCGAAATGTTTCGTTGACAGATCAATATAAGATCAGCATTGAACTGTTAACTTTTCCAAATCAAAAATAAATTTCATGTCTGTTAAGGCGCCAATAAATGTTAGTACGATTATTTGTAAGAACTTAGCTGAAGCACAAATATTACTGAAGCACAAAACCCATCGAAAATTGAAATGTTATCGCACATATCACCGTTACTGATATAAATCATATGCAAATGTAGAATTTAAAAGAAAAAAGTTTCTGACTAAATAGATTTTCTAAAATAATGAACAAAAATTATTAGCTAGTTACAGGAGATCAATCATTAAATATACATGAAACAGAATGTCCACATGGTTGGACACGTTATGAACGTACCAAATCCTGCTTTCATGTAATCGAACGACGAATGCGTTGGTCTGACGCAGAACGAGCATGCATCAATTTAGGTGGTCATTTAGCATCGATCATGGATGAATATGAAAATATGTTTGCTTTTAGTAAGTTAACTTTCTTATTTCAAATTTTCAAAGAGAAAAAGAAAGAAAAATTACCAATTTGTGACAATTTTCCAAAATTTTTCAGTAAATAAAAATACAAAATGTATTGCTTTGTTAAATATAATGCATTTAATAAAATTTGAAAAAACTTGAAAGCTTTTCAAAAAAAGAAAAAGAAAAAAATTGAAATAATTAAAGATAAAAGGATGATTTTAAAAAAGTTAAAAATAAAAGGAAGATTGAAAATTGTCAGCTTTTTTTTGTTTTTGAAGATGTAGCAAAAGAAGCAAATTTGTCAACACCAACATTATGGCTAGGACGATTGGTTAAATTGACACAAACCGGAGCATATGAATGGAATGATGGTGCTGTGGGACGACATATAAATGGCTTCCGAGGTGGTGACCTTTTCGTTTCCCAAATATTTAAATGGATCATTAAGATTTAATCAAGTGTTTTATCATTTAACATTAAATTCATTCTAGAATTACCATCTGGAACAGATTTATGCTTAACAATGTGGCTTGATTTTGATCGTCCGGAAGGGTCCTGGAATGAATGGGATTGCAACTATGCTTCCGGTTATTCGGCACTCTGTAAACGTTCGCTGAAAAGGATTCCAATTACAACAACTGGTATTAGTTCATTTTTTAGATCTTTCTTTTGTTGCTTTTTTTAAAATAGCTTATACTGAAATGAGATTTATACGGGAGAAATTGGCTTGAATCAGTCATTTCAATTTCCCAGTTTCTGTTTATTTAAAATTTTGGGATAAATCTTAGAAGTAAGCGATAAGATTTCGAAAAAAAAAGGATAAAAAAATTTTGATATATAGTGAGAAGTTTAGTTGAATGGCTTTAATTCTTGTTTACTCAAAATTTTTCCTTAGTGTTATGGGAAATTAATGTTTACCTATTCGAACTTTTCTTTTCATCGTTAAATTCACCATTTGCAATGATTTCTTTTTTGCTTTTAGTAAAACCTAACATCCGATCCGGTACTGGTTCCATTTTGTTGTATCATAGTCGCCGATGTTGTTTGATTTCATCATTGTGTCACAATACAAGTCAATCATGTACATCTGATGAACGCTGTATTCCAGATGATTTGGATTGCTGGACTAATATCTGTCGTGATGGTGGGATTGGATGGTGTTTACCTCTCCCAAAATCTCAATCTTTACCCTGAATGATTACGTAAAATTGCTATATAAATTATGCGTTTTTCACGGCTATTTAGTGGATCACTGTTTTTGATCAGTTTTTCGAATTTTCCAATTAAATTAAAATTAAATCAATTAAAATTATTATATATTCAATAAATAAAAACTGGCTTAGCCTCATGCCTATGCTTTTCTTTTTAAACTTTCAAATCAATAATTCAAACATATTTTTGACTGGCTGAATTTTGGAAATTTCAAATGTGTAAAAATAATTTAATACAAATACTAAGGTTTTATGTATCTTCAAAAAATTACATGTAATAACCGCAAAACACCGATTGATCATTCGTCGGTATTTCCTGGTTGTTACATAAAGCTTCATTTTTTATTTTTTTATTTTTATTTTTTTTTATCGATTAAATTTCCATTCTATTGCAGTTAACCATGTTTTAAATATAGTAATTTTTTTTTCAAATGAAATGAAATTTTCCAAAATTGTCAATACTTTGACCACATTTTATTGATTGATGTTTTCAATTAAAAATTATGAAATAATAAAATTTGTGGAGTACTATCGGTCACTTGGTTTAAATTTCTTTTTCGATTTTTTAAAATACTTCAAATTATCAATTTGTTGACTTTCATTTGTTACTTCTGTTATGCAAAAAAAAAGAAAAAATATATGTAAATTTTACATTGTTTTTGGTGTTCTTAAAAATTAAATTCAACTATTTCTTATCAATTTTGTTTATTTGCTTGAAATTTTCAAAACTTTCATTAATGCTCCCCAAAAAAAACAAAAAGAAATATTATAACAACCAATACTTTTTCTCTCCAGCATCCTTAAGTTTCAAGTATTATAACTTACATTGTTTCGAGAATATTTGATTTACATTTTCCACGTGATGATAATTTCTAAAATTTACTGATTCTAGTTTAAAAAAAAAAAAAAAAAAGAAATTCAGTCTTTTTGATTTAGATTCTATTCACCAACTACTCGTTTAATTTTATTAAAAATTGTTTCACATCAAATGTGACATATTTGATTTAATTTCTTCAACGGTGCAGATGCGCTAGAAAGAATGTTTCTCTTCTTCATCCTTACATAAAACGTTGCATTTCATTGTTAAATGCAATTTCACATTTTAATCAGAGAATAAAATTTTTAAATTTTACATTTAAAAAGGTCAAAAATTTTCAAAGTATTCATTTCGTATAGTCTTTTATTGTTCAGAAAGGTGTCAAATTTTGTTTACAAATCGTGTTTTTCAACTTGAAAAATACAATTTATTAAGAAGCATCTTTTGCTCTTTTCATTTTTTCAATTTTTCCCTGTCACCAATAAAATGAGCGATTGTATGAATGTTATGATTGTATGATAATGATAACATTAGATAATAATAAATAATTTTTCCTTATTTAAAATATCAATTTTCATTACAACTTTAACATTTCCGATACCTTTTTCCAATTTTTATCTTTTATAATTTTGTTTCTTTTTATAATTTTTAATTTTTTTATAATTTTGTTTTTTCCTCGAAATTAATAAATAATAACGAGTCGATTTTTATTTAAAGTCTACATTTAAAATTGATTGCAATTTTAAACTTTTTCTTTCTCTAAAAATTTCGTTCTTTTTAATTGTAAATTTAAATTAAATTGTGGTATTTGTAAGAATGTGAAGAGTCAAATTAAAACCAAAGAAGGAATGTGAAAAAAAATGGATAATAAGATGTAAGAAAGATAATTGTCTTTTTTTTTCTTGGATTTGCAAACTTCTTAAATCAAACTTTAAATTTTGAATTTTGCAACCTACATTTTGCAAATTAGAAATTCTTACTCATTTGATATTTTCCTGCAAATTTTTTTGCAAGTGAAAGATTTCGTATTTTGTTTTGGCCACTTTTTTTTCCTCCCCATTCCAAAAATAGATGATTGGCAAAATGAATGACGATGATTGCATGCATGCATGCATGCATAACTTGCAGGCTTATATTTGAAAAAAAAAAGAATCGATAATTAGAAAAATGATATGTTTGCATTTGAGTCTATGACTAATGATACAGATGGAAATGGGAAAGCTTCTCACTAAAATAAGCTTCAAATATGAGAAGAAATATGGGTAGGGTAAAATAGAATGGGTAGGGTAAAATCGGGTAGAATGAAAAGGAATGGAAAATAGGGAGAGTATATGAATTTGAAAGGTTAAAAATTTTGTTGAATCATGCAAATTTTTATTATTATTGATTACTGTTTCAGTTTTTTTTTGCATATATAAATTGCATGCATTTTTTGAAATTAAAAGTGATTTACGAAATTTGTATTATTTTTCAATTTTCCTTTTCGATTACTAATTAATTTTTAAATTTGATTTCATGTTATCTTTAATTTATATTACCTTTAATCGTAACAATTAAAGTGTTATTTGTTTGTATGTTATAAATTCTATAATTTGTATTAAATGAAAAAGATAAATAAATTTTGCAATAAAGTTTATCATTCATATTTATGTTTATTTGTCGATTTGTTTACTCATTACTTACTCGTATATTTACTTATATAATATCTTACTTACTTATGCTTACATATATGATTGACGAAAAATTTTCATAAAGAAGAAGTAAGTTAATATAGAAGTAAAAAAATTGAAGTAAATTATTTAAATTGTTTACGTGTGTTTTAAGAAAGTTTTATTTAATACAAAGTTAATTTGCATATGTGATCGTTGATAAGTGATAAGTAAATAATACTGTAAAAAAAGTAAACATTAACTTAACCCATGAATGTTGTCATATATGTCACATATGACATCTATATATATGTATGTATGTAAGAATATTAGAATTCCTTGGTATACGGTAGTTAACGGCTGTTTAATATTGATAGTTTGAAAGCAAAATGATGGTGATGATGGATATTACGGGTGGAATGAAAAAAAAAAAAAAAGAAAAAAACGGAGTTAATTGGCAGAAGGAAAGAGGTGGAAAAGATGAGAAAAACAAGGAAAAGAGAGAGAGAAAGAGGTAGAGAGAAAATGAAAGAAAGAGAGCGTAAAAGATATAATAATGACAATAAGATTGAAAGAAAAGAAAAAAAAGCTTTTTCATCTTTTTCTCTTTCTCTTTCTCTCGATGATACAATTATAAAACATCCATTCATCATTCTTTCTCATTATTACTCTTTCAAATCATTAACTAAGCCTAAATTCTCTTTATCATTAAATTTCTCATTTATTATCACAGGGAGAAATGCTACAACTTGATGGTGCAAATGATAGTATTAAAAGTACGGTAGGTTTGATTATTTCTTTTCATATTTTTAACTCAAATTAATGTATATATATATGTAATGACTTTATTCATTAATTATATGAAAAGTTTTTGGAAAGTATTTGTTTAAATGAATTTTTAGCAAAATTTAATTTTTAATTCAAAAAAAAAAAAATGCAAAACAATTTATTCATTTAATTATGTCAAAACTTTTTTAAAGTTTTTTTCTCTTTTGTTGTTAATTTTTGAAAATTCTCTGCTGATAAATCTAATACATTATTTTGATATTTAAACTTTAAAACTCGATTATTGGTTTTAAATTTGAAATTAAATAAAGTCAAATTTTTTAATGTCTTTTTCAACAAAGCATTACAAAAAATTTCAAAATAATAATTTTTGGAAAGCATTATTAATTGTTTACATTTATTTTTCAATTCATCTATTTTTTTTTTTTTTTGTTAGAATTTAAACCAATACATATGTGCATATTAAAAGAAACAAGCAAGCCATTGTAATAAGAAATAAAATGAGTAAATCATTTCTGATATTCAATTATTTTTTTTGCTATTTCTTTGAAAGAAAGCAGAAATTACAGCAACATTTATACTTGTTAAAAAACAGCACAAGAAATTTTACGCCTTACTTATTTTATTACTTTATATCAAAAATCCAATTCATGCGATATTAATTAATTAGTTAATTAATTACAAATATTTTCATTTATTTCTTAG